TATATATAATAAGTGAGTGAAATAATATTGATTTGATTTCTCCAAGTGGAACTCAATGAATTAAACATTTAACTAACTCAAAATTCTGTGGATGAGATGAAAATAGTGTCATCAACAATTTAATGTGTAAGAGTGCCAATTGAACATTTTTTATTTATTTTATTCTTATCCGCCTTTTGGTCCACATATAAAAATTAATTTTATATAACAAAGAAAATTGGCAAATGTCGTCTTTAAATTTACTTCCATGATGCACTTTCACCTTCAACATTTATTTCTTGATAGTGTTATATATCTCTCAATATTTCATAATTGACACGTATCCTTATTAATTTGCAAATGTAGTCTTTAAATTTTCTTCCATGATGCACTTTCATCTTCAACATTTATTTCTTGGTAGTGTTATCTCTCAATATTTCGTAATTGACATGTGTATCCTTATTGAATCTCTATAATGACTATTAAGTTCGCATAAAAAATTTGATTTATGTTGAATTATTTATCAATTTTTCCTATGAATGATGCATCTGCACTTCATTGACATTGATTTAAATAATAAAGCATCCATATATCAACCACTTTTATGTTCTTCAACATCCGAGCTAACCTTAACTTGAGAACGCCAAAAAGAAAAGGGAAAAAATGAAGATAACGAATCTAACGACGAGTAGAAAGACTCTTGAATGCACTCAATTACATTGAAAATTTGGGGAAAAAATTACATTTTTATGAGTCTACATGTAGCAATTCTCATCTCTCCACCTAACTAGATGCCCAACTTTAAATAAGGTTTTGGAATTCATGGATATGCTTTGCATGACATCTGAGCAATTGCCCTTTTCAGAGGGCAATGGATTGAAAATAAATAAATAATATCTTATTTCCCAAATAGTTTTGTCCCTTTCTGAAACTAATCCAATTGGAAGACTGTTGCAGCAATTTTGGACTTTAGTATGTCTAAAAATAAGTGTTCATGTAAGCACTGACAGCAAAACACATAAATACATGTGGATTGTAACAGTCCATTGGATTCTAGTGGGGTCAATTTAATTAGATTGGGTTGATGGCTCTATAGCCTGGATGATTATCGTTTGGGTTGTAGTGAGCCATTTTCATATTATTTAATATTTTTAAAAATATATATATAACAATGTTCACCTTATCGTCACATAAATCGATGATCATCTAAACTCTAATGACGTGTTCAGCATAGCTCAAAATTCAATTAAAATTGAAAATATAGTCGTTATTAGGTCTCACTCATTCCATAAAAGTCAACAATAACGGCTAATTTTTCAATTTTAATCCGATTTTAATATCTGCCGAACACTTCCTAAATAAATAATATTATATAATGAGTTAGGATCGAGCGAAAAGAGCAGTTAGTGCTTTTTCTTCAAGAAAAAATATTTATAAACACATCCACCTTCAATTTCATAGTTGTAATTGAATCTTCTGAAATTATATTTACAGGGTTGGTTGCTATTTCTTTTGAAGTGAAGAATTTATTTAAATATATTAGTGTCAGGTCATTTATCCACACTCTAGAGCATGCCACATTAAATATGGGGACCTATATTTCGTATATATGTATATTATTAGGCACGGAATTGACAATACTACTTAGTTGCTTGGATTTGTCCTTTGGGGGCATTCACTTTGAGCACGTCACATACCGTTGTGTGAACGTAACATGCGACGTTCTCGGGGTTGGATTGGAAATGTTGCCCTTTATAACAAGAATAAAGATGATAATCGAGTAATTTAAAATGATCGGTTAAGCTTTATAAAGTTCGTTACAAAAAATTGATGTGACTTGAGAGATATCTTCACGAAATGAACATTCTAACCATATGTACATGCTATTAGTGGAGATATAAAATAAATAAATATATCGCTTAATATGTCAAGTTGTACTCCCACATATTTACGAAATAAATATGTCGATTCTTTGATAGGTTAAGTTTCGCTATCACGTATTTATGAAATAATTCGATTACATAGTAAAATAATATTCAGTTGATTGAGACTCGAGTTTCACAATCGAGCTAATCAAGAGCTCTCCAAAAAGTCAAAAGTCAATTTGAGTGAATCAATACGATGAATGGGTTGTGTTACATACACCTAAAATAGTGATATGGTAAGACCGCATATGTATAGATGAAGCATTTCGAGGACAAATCTAGTTTGCTATTTACTAGGATTTGGTTCGAAGTGTGCAACTTATTATAATATAAAGCTATAAGCTTGTTGAGTAACTAAACTAAGAGAAGGATTAAAGATCGAGAAAAAATAAATACTTTATCTTAATTAAGTCCAGCGAGTTAACATGAATCATGTACAATAATACGTTTATTATATTGTTCTCCTTCTACACCTTTATATATACTCAAAACAAATAAATTAAGGATCGCATCAATCGTCATCAGCAAATTTTTTAGATTATAAGAGAAGATGTTGGCTAACATCTTCCCTTTTGTGACGTGTCCCTCGTAAAATAACGGTATTTACATTAACAACAAAACCGTGACAAATAATCCAACTTTTATTACATTACGACTATATCTTCCATCATAAAAAATATTATGCATGACTATAATTGTCTGGTATAAATTAGTTTGACGAAAAACACTATTTTGACACTTCATTTGTGATAAAGACGAAATCTTTACACAAAATATTGCTACCATCATAAATGTATATATTTGTGAACATACTGATTTCGATATTAGTATAACCATATTGTTTACCGATCATAAATTATGCTGCCTTGTGATCAATATTTTTAATGACGACTTTTCAAAAAGCTAATTTCTTATTAAGAGTATGTTCGGCTAAATAAAAAATTTTGTATACGTATGAATATATTATTTTCGATTGTACATAGTATAACCATAACATTTATCTATCGTAAGTATATATTTTTCACCACGATTTTTTACTAAGGTAAGTATTGAAATTCTTTCAGTTTGGGTATGTATCTTTTGAATAATTTAATGTTGTCCATGTGACATTGTGGGTTCAATCAATTTCGTCTCGAAACTCTTCGATATATATGAGATTGTAGCAGCCACCTATGTATTATGTTTAAAGTTGTTACGTCGTCTTGTAGTTATTTGTTTCTCTCACTCACTTTCTCTCTCTAATCACCATTTCTTCTTAACGCTCAAGCTCCAATTCAACTTCTCAAGCAGAAAATGAAACTGAAGTCAGTGTATTTTTTGGGAGGATCTGCAGCAGAAGTTGATGAATTCAATACCCGTTTATCACCAACAATACCCGCCGGCGCAGGAAGATTTTCTCCGCCGTCGGGTGCAGCGGCAAAATGCGACGGCGACGCTCATAAATGTCCATGGTGGCCGTATACAAATTCCAAGGATTTCAAAGCGAATACTGCCCTGATACTAATCGTGCTTATCGTTGCTTTAATCTGTGCATTAGCTTTCAATGCTGCTATTCGGTATATCATACGCGTGAACTGCAGCCGGCGCCGGCGCAATTCTTTGCAATTGCCTGAGGATCACGGCGATGTGGGACTGGCGCAGCCAAAGACGGTTCTCAGCTCTGGTACTGTTAATTATCTAATTATTTCAAAGTTAATTCATTTACATATTATTTTGAACCTTCACGGACGTGATGGTCGAGGACTCGAGATAATTTTTTCGTATCGTGCTTGAACAATTTTTAATAAATAAGTTACAGCGAGATTTGAACTCAAGTGATTCTAACATCAAGTTAATCTCGAAAGACGAAACTAGAAATGCATTTTAAGTTGGGTTAAAAGTTATAAATGAAATCGACTAGTGGCGGGGCCAGGACTTCACGTAGGGGTGAATGTTGAGGGGCCAAAATGTTGCGAGAGCGGTCGCTACCCCTCCACCCAGCTCCGCCTCTGAACTCGTTATGGACTTTTGGGGTGAATTTTTAGCGAAATAAAATATAATAATTGTAGACAAAATTCACACTAGATTGTACACAATTTTATTATATTAATGTCGATATAATCGTTCGACTAAAAGTTTAAACGCTCTATCATTTAAATATTGTCTTAAATAGATAAGACAGAGATGGAGGAAATCACGGCCGAGGTGTATTTGGCGGGGATGAAGCTGGCGGGGGAAGAAGCGGAGTGTACAATCTGCTTATCGGAATTTGCAGATGGAGAGAGAATTAGGGTTTTGGAGAAGTGCGGCCATGGCTTCCATTTGCAGTGTATACAACAATGGCTAGTTGCACATACCTCTTGTCCCACGTGCAGAGCGAGTTGTACTCTTTGATTTAATGCCCCATTTCAGGTTGTTAGAGACTTTTAGTTGATGAATTAAAGGTNGACTTTTAGTTGATGAATTAAAGGTAATATACTGATAATTTTTGGTATGTAAATCACTTTTCTTTAAGTAATTTCTATTATTATATTTGAAGGGTTAAATATCTTAGCTGCTTTGGTAAGTTTCGTATGTTCGACTATACTAGAATATGCATAATTAAGAAAGCGAAACGCATCAACCATTAACTAGTATTTAGGAATTATATGCATACGATGGAATAATTACTTGAATGTTTCAAATTGTGTTGGTTCCAACTCGGTAGAATTTGCTTGGGCGTGTTCGGTGGGGAATAAAATTAGATTTTTTGTAGATTATGATAGAGGTTTTTGAAATGTGTGGTTGCAAAGATGTGAGACGCATGAAAAATGTGGTTAATATTGATTGTTTGACTTTGACTTAGATTAAAATCTGATTTTACTTTGTACCAAATAAGCTCTTAAATTTGTGAAGAAAGAATGGTCAACCATGAACATATTTTAGAAGAGTATATGGGCTTTGATTATTGATAAGTGTTACACTTCTTTGAGACCTTTAATGATGACATTTTATAGTTCTTTGATTGTATTACCTAGCCCCCGTTTGATGCACATTTTGAAGATAAGAATGCATTTATTTGTTCATGTGATGGGGAATATGCGGTTGAAAAAGAATGAAAAATTATTCTTGTGATGAAAAATATTATTTTATTGAAAAATGTGATTGAAATGAGAATGAAAAAATAATGTGGACCAAACAAGGCGCTAATTTGTTATGTATTGTGTTTAATAGGTAAACTTATGATTTAATGAAAAATTGAAAAAAAACAAGCTAAAAATATAGAAGAATGGCGAAATCCAAAGTGTGATGACTAAAGTACAAATATTCTAAAGTTGTGAGGGACCTCACGATGAAAATTTGAGAGTCTTAGTCTCTTAGATGTCACTTGGATGTAATAAGAAGTAAAAAAATGAATGAAATATAATCAAATTATCTTTACAAATCAATTTCCAACAACACGAGGCATTTTCTAGATTTTCAACCAGAGTTTGAAACCCATTTTTGAAATAGTAAACGTTCAATTTGAAAAATTATACTTCTAGAAGAATTGTAACCCTTTTGAGTTAGCTTTATAACGCATTTTAAATCACCTCAATCGAATATCGAGAGAGAGTTATAATCAAAATACTGAAAGTTGTGTAAAGACAGAATCATGAGCGTGTGAGACAACTTTCCTTATTTGATTGAAACTTGTTTAGAAGACAAATTGGACGTGAATCTTAATCTAATTTCATTATATAGAATATAAGAGGGGCAGCCGTTGGAGGAGCTCTCTCTCACCTCTTAATAATTAGATTCATATCCTAAAATCATTCAATAACAAGACTAAGCATCAAAATCAAGGCGGATTATACAGATTATTGAAGAATATTCATCCATTTTCAAGATTCAAATCAAGAAAGAGAATTTTTCCACTTTATTTTTTTTTTTCTTTCCGGGTGATTTTATCTAATATTTCTTGTATAATTTAATCATATATATAGGAATACTCTTTATCGCATAGATAATCTACAATTTAATGCATTTTGGTCATATAAATTCGGACTGTGAATATGATTGATTCGTGATTAGAATAGATGTAATTTATCTTGGAAAAGAGAATTAAATACATTAACTTTATCAATTGTCACAAATGCATGAAATTGACAAGATTACGAATAAAAAATTGAAATAAATGGCAACAGGGGATTTGAAATCCAATAGAATCATTAACATATTTGACAAAACAATTTTTATTGCTTTCTTAGTTTAGAATTAATATAAATAACAATAAAATCATCTATTTTGTGTCACGAACATTGAATTTAGTAATACTAGTGAACTATGATTGAACATTATTCATCATGGGACGATAACTCACAACTCACTTTATTATTATTTTTTAACGATCACATACACCTGCGGGTTTCGAACGAACAATTATCTTATCTAGCTAAGCTAAAAGGCTCCGCAATAAATTTGGGCTCAACTAGACTACATATGGGCAAAGCCCATGGCTTGCATAGCCCATTTCTATCTGAATTCAGGATTTCAACAGTGATCAACCTCAAATAGATCACGGAATGGGAAAATTATATAAAACCAGGGGTTTAGTTTGTCATTTTTAAAAGTCAGGTTTACCTTTTTAAAAATCAGGTTTACCCTTCTAAAAATCAGGTTTTAAGTTTA